AAGGGCCGTTCATCCGCTTCCAAACGTACGCGTCGTCGATCTAGTCTGGAAGCATGTGATCGTCCTCCTGGTGAACAAGGGGATGGCGAAGACCGAAATAAAGAGGAGCCACCGACAACACGATCAAGTGTAGGTTTACACTGCTTTAGGCTACTTCCACTTGCTCCTTTGTGCATTGTATTCATAATGACCATTTTCCAACATTAAAGTTTTTGTACCTTCCTTGTTTCCCTAGGATTTTGAAGATATGGAATCACTTGACTCGTCTTTCGGTTTTAAGTTGTAAAAGAGTTAGAGCCATGTACATCTTTTGGAGTATGCATAGGTAATTCATTGCCATTGCTAATCTTGCTATGGGTACTGCATTTTCATTCAAACTTTGTTCCCAGTCCTACTATGATATTTGACCTTTTAGAAGTCGCGTGAGGATAATTGGCTGGCTGAAGTTATGCGTCGTATTGAGCGTATGGAAAAGAAACATAAAAAACCTACGGAGAAGAAACCAAAGCTAGAGAAGGTAGACAGTGAATCGGTGGAATCGAGATCCGAACTACACCCCTTAAAGCCTCTTTCGCCTGATCAACATGAAGAGAAAGGACAAATGGAGGTGAAGAAGCCGACTTCTTTGAAGTCCGACGAGGCACTTAAAGAGGAATCGTCTGTTGTTCCTAGAAAAACAACGCGGAAGTCAGTCCCCTCAGTTTCCGTTGGATCTCATCCGCCTACAACTCCGCTGTCTCGTGAAGATCGCTGGATGCAATGGCAGATTCAACGAATCGCTGAAATGGAGTCTTCGGACGCTCCTGTCGGTGATCATCTCCAGCAACAATCATCCAGCGGTTCCGTAAGGCATCGTAGGCGCGGCAGCGGCGGAGCGAAGTCTTCTCTTTCGCGCCATTCTCCACAGAAAAAGGATACTCTTGATCATGATACTAGTGCCGCAGGAGGCGAGGCGGAGTGCAGTTTGATTGTTTATAGGCGCCGGGAGCAAGACCCGATGGCGAAGTTTAGTCGTTCGCGTACGGGTCATCATCACCGTCAGCAGCAAAATTGTCTAAACAGGTCGTACAGTTTGGTTGAGAGCTTTGTGGATGAAGATTTGCCTGCTGGCGGAGAACTCCTTGACGATCACAGTGGTGTTGTTGGGAATACTGGCTCCTCGAATGTCAATGACGTCAGGTGTTCCATCACACTCGCATCGGTAGGCCCCTCTTCACCACCCAAGCCCTCCAAGAAGCGATGGCTATCGCAAGTACGACTAATTGTTCCTTTTCCCTTTCCTAATTCCATAATCGTTTCCTTTAGATTTTATATTTTGCTTTATTATTGGATTTTGAGTTGCCATCGGTAAAATTATCCTTTGTCGTCCTGATCTTTCATATTCCAAATATTTGCCTTTGAACTTCTTCCTGTGCATCTACATTCTATTGCCTACGTGGATGCATACTAATTAGCACCAGATT